GTACGCAAGGAAGGGAGGGGAAACGAAGGAACATCACCTCCTTTTCACGTTTATTTCATTTTTGTATTTTTTTGTATTTTTTTTTTTTAAGATCACAGAAGAGCAGAGCATTCATACATGTAAAGAAACAGAAACAAGATAACAGAAGTTAAATACATTGAGAAAAGAAAAAATAAAAAGCTTCTTTTTTTGTTTGTTTGTTTTCATCACTGGGTTTGGCTCATTCACTGGTTGGGTGGTTTCATTTCTGATCGCTTCCACTACATACACACTTGCGCTTTTAGAGTTGCCTTTCACAGAGCTAGTTCCAAAAACAAACCAATGGCGAAAAATAAAATGGCCCTTTTCTCGTTTTGTTAAAGAGAAGTTCAGCTCATGTCTACAGTGCTGGGGAAAAATATATATAAAGATATAGATATATATATATATTTATATGTATATAACACTGTTAATGAGGAGAGTTCTAACCACCCCGCCGTGCAGCAAGAAGGGACTGGCCTTTGTTCTCAAGGTCTAGAGGATGAAACCTGGCTCCAGCTGGGAGAGCTGAAAAGTTTGTGGGTGACGGTGGCCCCGCAGGGCAGGCACTTGCCCTCTGCCCCCCTCCTCCCTGTCCTCGCACATTTGTGCTCCTGCACGTGCACAGGAGTTCACTGTGTGCTGGACAGACGGAGCCATCACCAGGAGCATGAACGTTAGGCTTTGTGTGGCAGAGGACAGCAGAGGACACAGGGTGTGTGTGTGTGCCTGTGTGTGACAGTCTGGAGAGCAGTCCTGGCTGGGAGGTGCTGTGCTCACAGAGTGGCTTCCAGGTTGACCTGATCCTTGCACCCATCTATGCATGGGCTATACAGACATATCTATGTGGGGGCAGGGTGAGGAAGGGAAGGGAAGGGAAGGGAAGGGAAGGGAAGGGAAGGGAAGGGAAGGGAAGGGAAGGGAAGGGAAGGGAAGGGAAGGGAAGGGAAGGGAAGGGGGAGAATGAGAGGAAGGATGAGGGGGAGGGGAAGGGGGTCCTGCCCTACCTAGGAACTGCACCTGGGTTATGGTCCTGTGACCTTCTGACATGCATTGCCCCTTCCTCTCCGTTGCCTGGGTGCCTCTGCAGGGCTTACCAAGGCAGGCTGAGGCACTGCAGCATAGAAGTGACCTCAATCTGCAACAAAGGAAGGACTCTTCACTTGCCACCCTTCTGGGCTAACCTGGAGAGATGCTCGTTTTTCCCAAGCCCTGTTTTGGCTGATCTCATTGCCACCACATCTCCCTACGCTGCAGAGATACAGAGGGCCTCACCTACATATCCTCCCCAAGCTGACTTCTGCTTTCCCGCAGTAAATATCTCAGTCTGGCCTGATGGGAGCCAAGCAGAAACTTTGGGGGGACACAGGATCTACCTGAGCACCATTCTAGCAAGTTGCAAGAAGGAAAAGAGAAAGAGGCTTTAATGGTGTGACACAGCTCTTTGTAGCAGGAGTCATGCAGTTTAAAATAAAATATCTTCAGGGTATCCCGCTGGTAATGAAGCCACTTTATGACCAGTGCTGAGAGGCACAGTCTGCCCGCTGGTATGCCTAGGAGCTCTGTGCGTGGATGACGGGCAGCACTCGTCCTTACCCATTTCCACTGCCATCACACCTTGGAAATTACCATCCAGTTTCACCTCTGCTTCCCTGCCTGGCATGCTGCTCTTTCCATGGGACAGTTCACTTCTAGCATCCCTAGCTCAAGGAATTCTGGAGCCAGAGAAGCGGTGAGATCATGCAGCAGGAGAAGAGAGAGGGGGAGAACTTCTCACCCACTATGACCTCCACAAGACTGTCACTGTTGCTACATCACATCAAGCACTGTGATGGTGTGGGTGACCAGTCAGTGTGCTTGGATCAGAGGTGTGGGTGGAGAAGAGTTGTTATCCTTGCCCATGATCTCCATCATTAGGGGAGGAAGAAGATGTAGCACAAGATGGAGCTGAACAATGGCAGGTTGAGGAGGACTCAAATGCAACTCCTCTGATTTCCCAAATCCTCTTCCCAAAATGCTCTTGAATCCTCAGAACTCTCTGTTGCTCCCCCAAGATCCTTTCCAGACGTGTAGCTCCCATTCAGATGATGGCATGACTAACTTGATCTGTGCTGGGGGCTCGGACGTTGCAAATGAGATTGCTCAGCCAAGTGGTCTGGGGGCATGGCCAGGATGCACCCAGAGCTAAGGATCACTGATGGAATTCAGGCTTTTTTTGACCAAGAGGGGAGCAGGCAGCAGTACATGAGGTCTGCCTAAGCAGCGACAGTCAGTGGTGTAAGAAAGTTGTGCAGACAAAGACCAACTCTCGACACAATGCATGTCACCAATGAAATCTTCATGAATGGCACGTTAACATGCACTCAGTGCTAGCATGAGGCGACACAACGTCACTGGTGAAGAGAGGGGGGGGGGGGGAATGCATCACTGAGCAACATACCAGCCAGCTGCGGGGCTGGAAATGAACAAAAATGAGCACAAGTGCCATGGTACAGGCGTCAGACGCAGAGTCCCATACTGCCTGCTTTGCCTGCCACCCACCAGATGTGCCAAGCAATGCTGTGGGAGGCTGAGGTAGCACTCCCGCTGCCCAGCTCCTTCCAGAAAGACTTGCCTCCACCCTCCGCTTGGCCATCCAAAAGGGTTTGAAATCTGCTAGCAAGTACGGGGCCATATATTAAATCTAAGTCTTTGTTCCTCTGCTTGGACATTACCAGACATTTCATGTAACTCTTGGAATATTTACAAACCGGTAGAAGAAATACAATTTTTTTTTTTTTTTTTTTTTCATTTCATTCGCTTCTTTTTATAACACTAAATGTTAAATCTCCATTGACCAAACACAATGACACTGACAAGCTCAAGGAACTGGTGTCCTGTTCCAAACCCCCCTCTCCAGTCCAGAGGCAGACAAGAGGCAGTAGGAGGCAAGAGCATAGCTATCTGCAGGGGATGGGGAGGCAGGAACGTGAATGCAGAGAAAGAGAGCTCTAGAAGAAAGGGCTTGAGATATGGCCAAAGGAAGGGAGAGCAGCTGACCTTATGTTTCCCCTGTTCATCTGAGCTCTTATCTTGGCAGATGCTCTGAGTAATACCTGCTAGAGATCTGGCAGAGTGGAGTGCCTGCAGCACCCATGGGGCACACCTGGGGTAGATCTGCTGTAAGCCTGCCTCACAGCCACACAACCAAGACATGAATCTGTGGACATCCTGCAGGAAAGACCAGAAGCCAGCATCGAGGTTGTGGCCATTTCCTGCAGTGAAGAAGATGGCTTCAGCAATTGGGTGTCCTGCTTTTTGTAACATATTTGTCTTTAAAGCAAAAGCCTGTGTGCTTTCTTCAAAAAAATAATAATCTCCTCAAAACTCTTCAAAACACCCAAACCCATGAGGACATAGCATGCAAGCAGCACCCCAACAGGGCTCTGACCTGTGCAGGACAAGATACAGGACAGACCCCACAGTGACCAACAGGCTGCCATGGAAGAGAACCCTCAACCTAAACAGGAAGGACTTAACCCAGACCGGAAGGGCAGCCTGGTGACAACAGATCCAGGGGGACCCAGACATGCTGGCCATGTGGAGCTTTCCCACTCCCAGATTCGGGAGCAGCATCAGCCTGCAGCTGCAGGGTCACCCCGCAGAGGACAAGGAGCCTTTGCTGCAGCAGGAAATCTGGAGCTGTGACCAACGTGCTGAGTGACACAGATCTCCTGAAATGCAGACACAGTGACAGGGGCATACAAATACTCCGAGGGATAGGGGACATGATGGCACCAAGGCCTGGAGACTGAGCATAATATAACACCACTCAAGCCCACAGCAGGCCTACAGTAAGTCTGCCACTATCCACCCCTCAGCCTTTCTCATTTCCTCACTCACCCTGGCTGCCTGCTGAATTGCCTGCTGGCTGCTGCCCCAAAAGCTGAGCCTGGCAGCCAGGAGGAAGGCACCAGGCCTTGGGATGTGCAAGCTGCTGGGCATGATGCTCCTATGCCCACTCGTAGGCAAAATAGAGAAAAGCCAGCTTGCAGGTGCTTAGAGGCCTGGCAGTGCCAAGCACTTGCAGGGCATTTCCAGGGGATTTGCCTGGAAGCAACAGCCCTCTCCTGCAGGCCCAGCACCCTCCACACAGGAAGAGGCAAGAGTGTAGCCTACTTCTTCACTGTACCACTTGAAGCCCCTTCTGGCTAAGCCCAGAATTTTGGATCTGATATTTGTTTTTATTCTTACATTCATAGGTCCTGGACATCTTCTGACCCAGTTTGTTTTGTATGTGTAAGCTGCAAAGTGAGCTTCATCCTGGCAGCGGTGTAAACACACAGTAAGAAAACAACAGAAGGGGGCATTGGTTCTATTTAGGAACCATCACACTGTAGGGTTCACACCCACATGAGCTGCTCTGCTGGTACATGAAGGCTGAGAGCCAGACGGGTGTGGGTGGGAGGGAAAAAAAGGTGAAGAAAGGATGCAGAATGACTCCTGCTGTCAAGGTGACCAGGCACTCTGGAGAGGGGCCAACATGGGGCCCTGAGCTGCAGGTGCTCCTCTCTCCTCAGCCCTCTTCTCAGTCCAAGAGATCTCTCAGCATGCGGTCTCACACTGACAAGGCAGGACGTTATCTACAGTGGGATGGGTGTATGTACACATGGACTGTTCTTCAGCATGCTTAGAGAGAGCAGGAGAAAAAGAGAAAGAGAAGACAGAGCACGAGGGCCACACATACACGCATGCACGCACGCACGCAGGCACACACTGGAGAAAGACACTTGGCCAAATTGAGGGGGAGAAGGAGAGAATCAAAAAAGCAAATAAAAGAGCAGGCTGGGTTGGAAGGACATAGCTTTCGTTCAGGTCAGAGCGGGATGTTGCATGAGGGAGGGTGCAGGACAGAAAGCATTTAGCAAAGTGCACAGGAGCATGGGATGATGTGAAGAGAGGAAGGGGTTCTTCATAGGACACCAGTGCGCAGAGAGCTTTGATAACTTCCTCTGTTCATTATTTTTTTTTCCTTTTTTTTTTTTTTTCTTCCCAAAAGTATGAAGTGCCTGAGCATCGGCTCACAAAAATGACCAAGGGCATCCAAAAAGTTAAGTGGCTATAGACACTGAAGCAAAGACCTGTTTCTGCGCAAGAAAGAAAGAGGAGGGAGGGAGGAAGGCAGGTGAGGAGTATGGAAAACAGCAAGGAGGAGAGAAAAGAAAAGGGATCTTCTTTTTGCTCAGCTCGGTGTCATCGATGTGGATGAAGCGCAGCATCCTGTGGCTCCATGGGCCCTGCGGGTGCCCCGTTTGCCCCTCTCCTTGTGAGGTCGGTGCTGTGACGGCCGGCAGTCGGAAATCATGTAAGCGTTGCTGAGTGGTCCTGCTGTGATTTTTCCTCTCCCCCCTCTTTGCTCCTGAACAGGCAGAAGTTGTTGTGATTGAAACGGTCCTCTCACTTCTTCTCTCCCCCTCTTTTTTCTCTCTCCCCTCTCTTCGCTCTGTCTCCTGTATAATGCGTTTTGTTTTGTGTGTTGTCGTTGTTGTTGTTGTCGTGTTGGTTTATTATTATTATTATTATTATTATTATTATTTTTAATTTTGATTTGTATTAACACTTGCTGAGTAGGCAAAGCAGGGATGCTGCCAACAGCCACAGTGGGACGGCCAAGCTCACGGAGCCATTGTCTACTCTCCCCGTGCCGGGTCCTGCAGGGTACGAGAACGGAAGAGAAAAGAGGACAATGTCACATTTGGCTTGGGGACACAGGGCTCCAGCACTCTTTCCCTGAGTGACACCCAGCCCGCAGGGATGGGGCTTTGAGTGAGTGGAAGGCTTCAACCCAAGGCCACCAACATCACGTGAACCTTCACAACATGGCATCCCCTGCTCTGTCCCCATCCTTGCGGTGGCCCTTGGGTGTAATTTTGCATGCTACTGTTCAAGGCCAGACTGGATGGGGCGCTGGGCAGGCTGATCCAGTGGGAGGTGTCCCTGCTCATAGCAGGGGTCTGGAATGGGATGGGCATTAAGATCCCTTTCACCTTAATAATTCTATCATTCTATGCTTTTATAATCTTTCTATGATTCCATGATTTGATCATCTTTCTATGATTCTTTGGCAGAAAGACACCAGCTCTGCAGGGACTGATGCATCATACTGGTCCAATCAGTCAAGCCCCCATCCCAAAGACTTCCCCATCGCCACTCCTTATTCAGGGCGGAGGAGAGCATGGCACCTAAGGGGCAAAACCAGGATTTTTGGCAAGGGTGGAGAACGAATCTTTGTGTGTGCATGTGGGTCTGCCAGAGGGGGCAGGGAAGAGAGCTCTGCTGCAGCAACAAACAACACAGGCTTGCTCCAGGAATATTAAGTGCAAACGCTTTTGACATCTTCTCATCCATCCTTTCCTTGACGGGTTTCCTTTCCTGGATGACTTTAAAAGCAGCGATGCTGTTTTAAATTCATCCTGCAATGACAAGCCTCAGCAGCCTCTCCTTTATAGTGAGGCAGAGCTGTGTGCATTGCTGTGTTTTCATAAAAGGCGTGCTCGTCATCATTTCCATGTGTGTATATATATGTGTGTGTACATGTATGCACACTGTTTTACACAATAAGATTCTGAAGTGTGGAGGTGGATTTGAGTCTATGTAGGGAACAATCCTGCTGTGGAGAAAGATATCCTTACTGGCAAAACAAACAAACAAACAAACAATCAAATAGATAAATATTGAGACCCCTGCTCAGAAGAGCCCCAAGCAGGTCAAATGCAGTTGCTCCACCTCAGCCTGTGGTATGAGCTCCATTCTGCTGCAGCACAGGTAGCAGCTGAAGTCTGTCTAATGACAACTGGGCAGCCCCTCCACAAAGGGCATTCCCCAGAGCTCATAAATTCTGTGGCACTTGCAATTGTTGCATTTCTTTCTAAGGTAGCTTTTCACATTCTAGATCAGCTGTTCTTTCATCATTAGATAGGAATGTAGTGGATTATGTGGAAAATTTGTATTCTATCTATGGCTTCTTTTTTTTCAGGTATTCCCTGTTCATTTGCAGTTTGTCACACAAAACCTACAGCATTGTTTCCCTCTTTGTTTAGATGATAGGATCTTATTTCCTCACTGAACTCAGGAATGAGCTCAGCTGCTGCACTTACCTGACCCTGTGTCAGAGACTGCATTTTTCTTGGTCAAATAACTTGGGAGGAGTGATTTTCTGGGATTGTTTGTACCACATTTTGGCAGTTAATAAGTCACAAAACGTGACCCACCAAATAACCAACAACTCACCAGGCAAGGCATGCTGTCCACAAACTGCCTTTTGCCATCTCATTTTCACTACGTGGCTAAAACACTATATTTCTATCTGAAATACCATTTGTAACACACACACAAGCAGCCACCAGCCCCTTCCTTGCCACTTTTCTATAGGATGCATATAGGATCACAGTGTACCTATGGAGGCACCTAGCAAGGTAGAGGCAGTGTTTGACCTTGCCTGAGTATTGCTGCATGGTTCTGGGAATTGTGTGTGTTGGCATGGCATGGTAGGGTAGGTAAGTAGGGTAGGGTATAGTACAGTGTGATATGAGACACAGTCTTCCAGAGTAAGTATAAGGGAATAGGTATAAGGGAATGCAGGGTGATGATGATCTCAGCAGCTTCTGCTCCCTGAGCTTCACTAAGTAGGTACGTGGGCATCTGATGAGCCAAGGATACCATCTCCATGGCTGGAAAGGATGCAAGCTGCATGACTGCATGTCCTTGTGTTCCTCTGCTGAGTTCTCTGTGTCACCGCAGCACCTGCACGGGATCCTGCGGCTGCACCTGATCCCTGACCTTACCGCAGCACCAGGTGCAATGCACTTCGCATCGCACGCACTGTGAAAATGCGGGCCGGCTCTAGCCCAGCCACAAAACAAAACCTCCCGATCTCTGGGAACCGAAGCATGGGCACGAATTGCCGCAAGCCGAGACACAGCGCGGTCTCCGTCGCCCCCTGGTGCCCCCAGCACGTCCGAGCATCCTGGGCCCAGCGCCAGGCATGGGGCATCCCCGCCCACGGGTAAAAGGGGCTACAGGGGAGCTACGGCGCTTTCCTGCCACGTCCCGGTAAGCCCGAGCCGGGCTCCGGGAGTCCGCCTGCCAGCACGGCTCCTGGGCTGATAGCTCCCCGCCATCGGGCAGCCCCTCTGTGGCCATGGCCGTGCAATAACATACAAGGAGGTTCCTTCCATCATAGCCAGGGAAATTGGGCTTGTGAGGATGATAAGTTAATACTCTTATCTAGCAGTGTTTCATAAGCATGCCCCTAAGGGACCCCAGAACCCGAATGACCAGCCACATCAAACAGATCTGGAAGGAACAGAGAGTAAAATTGCTGCATTTCCCTTTCTGTGCTTGCAGACAGTGAGGTGTGCAGCAGGGCAGACTGCTGCCATGGGATAACCACATCCAGCCTCAGCTATATGTGTTGTGCTGGGCATGAAGCAGCCTCATCAGCCCTGTGTGCACTCACTGTCATTATGGCTGCATGACCCTTCCCACAGCAGGGTCTCACTTGCTTACTGCATCATAGGCTAGTGCCTCTGGCAGGGGAATGTTTCCATGTTGTGTAATTTGCTTCTTTCACGACCTTGCCCAGACACTTATCATAGCACCATAGCACAGCCTGGGTTGGAATGGACCTCGAAGCCCACCCAACCTTGTGCCATGGGCAGGGCTGCCACCCACCAGCTCAGGCTGCCCAGGGCTCCATCCAATCTGGCCTTGAACATTTCCAGGGATGGGGCACTCATAGGCTCCTTGAAGACCTCTGCATCTACAGCCTCCCTCAGCTTCTAGGGACTGTGGTGGCCAGCAGCAATATTATGGCCCTGCATTACATTGGGTGTCCCTTTTACCGTGACTTCAAGATGCTGGCACTAAGAGAAAGGCTGGTGTGCTGCACGCTGCTGACTGCAGCCTGAAAGTTCACTCCTCCCTCTGCAGCCTCCCCAGCACACCGCAGGACGGTCAGGCCAAGCAAAGTGCTTGAAGTGGGGTGGAGTAGCTGTATCGGCTCACAGGCGTAGGAAAAGCTGCTGTAGTGCCGGCGCAGAGGCGAGCGAATGGCTGCGCCCTGAGCAATGTGCGTTTCTTCCCACCAGGTGGCAGCGGAAGGAAGAGAAAAGACAAAGGGAAAACAAGCGATAAAGCAGCTACGAAGAAAACACCATTGCAGGATTCAGCAGAGCCCCGCCAAAGTCCCTTCGCAACGGGCTAGCAGCCCAGCCCAGCCCAGCCCATGGGTGCTGGAGGAGGGATGCTGCAATGCCAGGGGCTCTGCAGTGGGTGCTGCCGCCTGTGTCGATGGGACAGACCGGCACCAGGAGGAGAGCTGGGAGTCTGAGTGCAGCCAGCCCCTTGCAGAGCTAGCCATGCTGGTTAGCTAGCCAGAGGCCATGCTCCCTTTCTTCTGTCCAGTTGGCAGCCAGACCCTAAGTCAGCTCCGTTCCATCCACTGACTATGATCATCCTTCCTTGCTACATGCCATCTCAAATGGAATGGTACTGGTTGCAAGCAGGGAATAGACATGTTCTTGGTCTAAATAGAGAGGGACAAAATCACCTAGCTGTGGTCTCAATCACCCAGCATGCGTCTCCATGTTTCACACTCACATTCACCAGCCTGGAATTCCACAGGCTCCCACATCCTATCACCTGAACAGACCAAAATGGAAACAGGAAAAGAGGCAGCTGGTGTCCACTTTTATCTTATTTACATTAGTAAGACTTAGTAAGCTCTTGGTAAGTTTGTAGTGCTCATAGAGGAGGGCGCACAGAGAAGTTCCAAAGGGCGTCAGAGAGCCACAGGATTCTTCCTGGCTTTGGTGACTGTCCCTGGGATCTTCTCAAAGAACATGAGATAAAATGCTGTGCAAGATGCTGATCAGACCCCATGAGTTTCTGACTGAAGGTGAGGGCAGGAGAAGGCATGGGACAGTCTAGAAGGACTTCTCTGTGAAGGACAAGAAGGAATGATGGTAAAGCAAGTGGAGCCACAAGCTGTTTTTCAAGCTTCTCTCCGTGCTATGAGGTTCTGTTGCTGCTGATAGGTTAACTATACTTATAGCAATGGCTGGAGAGTGGCTTTGTGAACAAATAAGAGGACCAAAAATAAGGGAGGAATAAAAAATGCTCTAAGGGAGAAGGTAAAGGGAAAGTGAATAGGCACCATAGTGACATGAGGAGGGGCCTTAGGTTTTACACTTGCCAGCCCCTCTGCAAGAACTCATTTTTCTACTCTGTTGACTCTTGCCAGGGCTTCAGAAGATGAAATCTTTATTATCATGAAGGCTTAAAAGGGAGGAATACTGTTAATTCCATTTTCAAGGTCATACTTTGAAAGTTATTAATTTCTTTCTTCCAAGGCTTTGCACTCTACTCTGCGGCTTTAAGGATTAGCAGCTTCTACTTACTAGGGTTCATTTGAGGCTTTCTTCTTCCTGGTTTTCAGTCTGTCCCCCTCTACTTTGAGAAGAAGACATGCTTATTCACTCCCTGCTCTTAATGTTGAAACTATTTCGCTCATTACCTGCTTTACCCCATTCTCTCTACCAGTTAATATCTGTGGAGTTCTGTTTCTGTAATTAAAATTTGACTCTAACTGCACTGGCAATAGACTCTCTCTTCTAGAAGCAGAAGTACCACTGTGTAAGCGATAGAGGAT